AGGAATGCAGATATTTGAAATAATTTGTGATAAACGAAATACATCACTAAGATCTAGAAGAGCAGTTGCAGTTATAGTTGCATTAACCAACATTTTTATATCTAGAAAGCAGAGCCAATTCCCTTCTGAAATAAATGATACCTTTCAGCTGCCTTATTTATGGAGTAGAGCAGGCACCATAATATGAATGTAGCTTCCATGTATCCCCGTTCAACAGAATGCTCACTGGAGCAAATTTCAATTTATGTTCAAATATAACGGCTAGAATGCCTTTGAACTGACAGCCTGTAAAGCCACCTTTAAGGAAACGCCTCCATTCTTTTCTACCAATTATTTGCTGAAGGAAAAATAAGAGATAAACAACACATCCTTGAAAAGAGAATAAAATACGACTAAGAGTATGGATTGTCTTCAATAAAGTGTGTGTCAGCTTCTTTAGATCCAGTGAAGGCAAACAATCGCTACAATATATACTGTATATATACGTATATGTGTGTATACGTATATATACACTATATACGTCTCTGGGGGTCCTTTGCTGTATGTTGCACAGAGTTGTGAGATAGCAATAGCACTTAGACTTATATACCGCTTCACAGTGTTTTACAGCCCTCTCAAAGTGGTTTACAGAGTCAGAATACTGCCCCAAGAATTTGGGTCCTCCTTTTACCCACCTTGGAAGGATGGAAATCTGAGTCAGCCTTGAGCCTGGTGAGATTTGAACTGCCAAATTGCAGGCAGCCAACAGTCAGCAGAAGTAGCCTATAGTACTGCACTCTTAACTGCTGTGGCATCAAGAGTCATGCAGTTAACAGAATGGTTCTGTCTACTAGATAACACAAGAGAGTCAATGAGATGCCATATTTGTTCATTTGCTTATCGCATTTCCACATCACCATTCGCTTAGAAGATAGTCCCGTAACAGTGATGTGGGTCTAGGAATCCTGTAGACAGGGTGTGGCAAGCATTTTTTTGGGGTCAGGATCTTAATAGAAGTCCACATAGCACTGATTTTCTAGATAAAGCTGCAACGTGCAATAGATTCTAGATTACCCTGTCTGGGCTTTGGAGATAGAGCAGAATTAGCACGGGTTACATTGGATGGGAGACCACCAAGTAATATCAGGAGAGTAAGGTAGACTGGAAGTCAAAGAATTCCCTAGAAAAAGACTTAATAAAATCAGATTCCTCCCTCCAAGCTTTTCTCTGGTGAATACCATTCTTTCAGCAGCCGGGTACGGCTAATAAATTAATGCTGAATTAGAACACAGAAAATACTGGATCCAGCTAGTAATTAAATGAAGCGGGGAAACAAACGTATGAAGGGAATAATGGCATTCCATTTCCAGTTATTCTATTAGGAGCAAATAAAATAAACCCAGAAATAAACTTCACTTTCACTTGATATTGTTAAAGGGTACCTCACTGAGAATCAGAAACTCAAGTCAAGTCAACCGATTGCGCGAAAGATTTGGAAAGAAGCTACGTTATCAGATTCCTTGTGTGGCACGTTGGCAAGAGCATCGGTAAATGACGGACAGGAAGGGGCCAGCAACGTTGGCTAAGTCAAAGTGTCCTTCTGCTCCAGCTAAATGATTCCCAGCCTGTCAACGGTTGTTGAAAAAGCAACAATTACACTGACATATTTCGTACCCCTCCTGGCCTAGAGACAACATATTATACCAGGTGCCCCTATTTCTCCCGATTTCTGTACATTGCCATCATGCTGTAGGAAAGTGTCCCACTCAGTGATGTTCTAGTGCCCCAAAGGATTGGAAGAATGTATAAGATATTGCTGAAGTTCATCTCCCATAATTCCCTACTGTAGTCTATGTTACCTGAGGTTGATGGAATTGTAGTCCAGCAACATTCAAAGGGCTATAAGTAGAAACGATACCGACATTTGATATTTTTTTAATATTTTTTTTTTCAGTTTCCTTGAAGGGATGATGTCTCATTTTGTATCATGACAGTGAGTCTACGACAGTTTGACAGAAAGGGATGATTCTGAAGACTTGTCATCATTTCCCAAATTATTATCCCAGAAACCAAAGGTGATATGCATTATTCAAACACACAGACAGGATGGATAGGATATAAATGTCCTGTGTTAAAAATTTAACTTCACTTAGTGTCTGCTTTGTTGAATATATAAATAAAATATTCTATTGCAGTTAAAGAGATCTTTATAATCTCATTAAAAGGACTTTGAAAATACAAATTACTCCACATTTCACATCTATATTAGACCTGGAGGTCAAACCCAATCTGATTGATTTTCCAAAGCCTTTTAAAACATTCTCTATGGTTTTTTTTTTTTTTTTGCAGTGTATGAACAACACTGATCTTGTGATACACTGCTTTGTGATACCCACACAAATTGCTTTTTTCTAGAACCATAGCTCTTTTGCCCAATTATTTTTGCTCAGGCACCAATTTGATGTGCCATGAAAGGCAAGGGTAAATCACTTAATGTGTTTATATATATATATAAAACTATGCTATGCTATGCTATATTATACTACACTATAAAAGGAGAACTTATCCAATTAGCAGATGACACTAAACTGGCAGGAATAGCCAACAGCCCAGAAGACAAGCTCAGGATCCAAAAAGATTTTGAACAATGGGCCCTCTCCATTAACATGAAATTTAATGTGGAGAAAAGCGAAGTTTTACGCCTAGGCAGGAAAAACCAAAGGAACAAGTAGAGTTTACTGGCTCAAAAACAGTAAATATGAGAGGGATCCTGGAGCCCTAGTGGATGATCACTTAGACAGTAGTGTGTAGCAGTAGCCAAAAAAGCGAATAAAATCCTTGGTTGTATAAACAGAAGCGTAGGATCAAAACCGCATAAAGTATTAGTACCGCTCTATAAAGCCTTAGTAAAAGGCTACACCTGGAGTATACTGCATCTAGTTTTGGTCACCTCATTACAAAACTGCGGTTGAGACTTTGGAAAAAGTGCAAAGAAGAGCAACTAAGATGATTAAAGGCCTGGAGAAAGAAAAAAACATGAATAATGTTTTGGAATTGGGTATAGCCAGTCTAGAGAAAAGAAGAATTAGCGGCGACACAATAGCAGTATCCGAGTGTTATATATATATATGCTAAGCGCAGCATGGACTGGCCTGTCCTACTGTATTTCGCTGTCTTAGACTTAGAATAGCTTTGTCACTTTGAATGTACTGTATACTAATTGGCATGCATTAAAATGAAACTTTGTAAATTTTGTCTTTTTCTCCCAACCATTCACTTTTTTTGTTTTCTTTTAAGTCAGATGTAAAAAGGATCTTGGCAGATGGCCAGCATTCCATTGATACTTCAGTAAGGGTGGTCATGGGCATTATATCGCTTTTTAACTTTGTTAAAAGTGAATCCACTTGGCAATTGAATTGACATACCTATTTCTGCAATGTTTGTCTAGGACTATAATAAATTTTAACGAAATAAATGTTCTGTGCAAGAGAACATCCTTCTAGCTCTATACCAGTAATATATTTATTATGAGAAGTACAATATTTATATTCTACCATAAAGACAGAAAAAAATTGAATGTTGTATCAACCGCTTTAATAAAAGTCTTTAAAATGCATACTATCGAATTGTTGCCTAGGTCGTTTGAAGCATTAAAGGTAAATTACACGAGTCTTGCGTATGTGTTTTGAATTAAGCCTGTACATTTCAATGGAAGTTTTATATAACTTAATCAAAGGCTCTTTGATTAATACAGCTAATTGAAAGTCTCTGTGTTTAAAATGTATATAAATATTGCACAAAGTAAGAGCAGTGCTTGTAGATTAAGTATTTGCACATCCTAGTGTAGAAAGGAGTATCTACAAATTTCTTAGTTCTATGTGAGATGCTTAGTTTCCAGGCACAGTAAGTGCTGTGCTTGGTTCTTTGTATAGAATTCAACCTCACTGGACGGCCTGCTCTTTCTATCTTGCCTGCATGAAATTGTCTTTCCATGCAAGGCAGATCTCTAGAGCAGACCACTGGCTGAAGTAGTCCATGTTTTTAGAATAACCATTTGGCAAGATCAGAAGAATACTTCAAGATAACCTTTTACTTTGTCATTTACATACAAAACACAATATATACAAAAAAAAAAAGTTTAATTAAATATAGCATAATCTCTCCTCTCAGATCAACATCCCATTTTAATGTTTTTCTTCTGATACTGTACTTAGGAATATCCACAGAGCTGTACAAAAAGTATTCAGCCAGTATCCTTTATCTGCTAAGCTTTCTGTCTACTTGCTATACAACTCTTTTGAATTCACAACTTTTACAGAATTTTGGAAACGCTCAAATCCTCTTAAAAGATATCCCTTATAACCTCCCTCCTCCCATGAGGCATATACCTGGTTATCTATTCTAATTCAGAAGTTCTGCGAGATCTTTCCTATACACATTCATGCAAAGGAAGATAAAAATGATTGCATGAATTCTTCTGTTATTTGGAAATTTGTACAACTGTATATATGTTCCAAAATATTTTTAAGCATTAAAAACAGGGGAAAGGGGCCCCAATGACTTGCAGGCAATATTGTATTAAGTTTCTCAAATGGCTGTGCCCACGTAAACTGTTTTTGCTTGTGTTGTACTATAAATATTTCTGACCTGCTGCTCTCTAAGCAATCGTCGAAATTTCACCTTTAGTGTTCACGGAAGGTGAAAGTGCATGGATTCTACCAGGTTTTAAGTCTTATTGTGTTGGAAATCCATGGGTTTGGGAAACTGTCAGTACTTGAAATATGAACTACAGGTAGTCCTCGACTTACAATGGTTCATTTAGTGACTCTTCAGTGTTACAGTGGTACTGAAAAAAGTGACGGGATCATTTTTCATCCTTATGACCGTTGCAGCATCTTCGTGGTCAAATTGAGACGCTTGGCAACTGACTCATATTTCTGAAAGTTGCAGTGTCTGGGGTCATGTGATCACAGTTTGTGACCGTTTGTGGAGAAGCCAGATTCACGTAACAACCATGTCACTAATTTAACAACTGCAGTGATTCATTTAACAACTATGGCAAGAAAGGCTGCAAAATAGGGCAAAATTAACCAATGTTTCACTTAGTAACAGAAATGTTGGGCTCAATTGTAGTTGTAAGTCGAGGACTTACCTGTATCCTAAGAGGTTCCACAGTTCAAGAAGCTGATAGATTATAGAATCTATATACGAACAGACCTAGCTGTTTGTGTGGCTAGAAATGCTGACCAGCAGAATTCAAATAAGAAAACTCTTGAAAAGTAATCCTTTACATTCTGTTCTTATTTCTAAGAGTTGTACAGCCTAACATCAATAAATATGTCAAATCTATTGGTAGAATGATTTCCAGGAGATTTTGAGTAATACAATAGATGAAAATTTGTTTGATACACCTCAAGATGGCCTCCTTAGTTATCCACAACACATTTATGGAAACCAAGCATTAGAAGTACCATTACCTTAACATTGTTAAGTGTCACTTGTTATCTTTTAGTTACAATATTGGTATATCTTCCCTGTCCCCAAAGCAAGCTTTGCGCCCCCCATAAAAAGTGCAACCCAGCTGAAGGGCGGAAATGTCATCCCTTTAAACAGCAGTAGCTTTGGAATGAATGCTTATGTGTCTCTATATTATACCAATAAGGAGACTTTAATAGCACTTAAGACTAAAATAGCATTGGATCCAAATTGTTCACGCTTGGTCCAGATGTATGTTGATTGCTGAAAAGCACCGTCCCATGCTATGACACACTGGTGCAATGAAAACATCTGTCAGGCTCTTCCATACAGCTTGCATGGGTGGCAAGATCAAAAGGATAGACTTTATGAACGGCACCACAACCCTAGGCAAAAAAGGAGAGACGTGTTAGCAATCATTTCTTAAACTTTGTTACCTTTGTAATGAAGGTGAGTAAATCTGAAACATCCCGAATAAGAGATAATTTTAGTACATAGGCAGGAAGATAGAATTGGTCCTACTGTAGGTTACAGGTGCCTACAAAATCTTTTAATTGGGTTAGAAGCACCTGTGTTGCAATTTGGTGCAATTAATATCCCTTTATTTATTAATTAAATTTATATAGCTACCCATCTCATGAAAAGTGACTTTGGGTGTCGTACAATAATTGGTAAAGAACAATGCATGTATAAAAACATACATTTTAAAATAGAAAAATCAGAATTAAAATGATTAAAACTCAAAAGACAGTATAAACCCCAAGTGAGAGAGTACATCCACCTTAATCTAGGTAATATTTACACAAACATTATTACGTTTCAATCACATTAAATAGGTCTGATAAAGTACTGGCAATCTGATTATGTTTACAGACAAAATAAATTTTATTCACATATCCACTTTGGTATAATAAAGATTAACAAATTTTACAGCATTTTATAAGCATATTGCTAATATTCTATCTTGTGTTCTCTAATAATTTCTGCCAAGCTGAAAAAAAAACCTGTCCTCCTTTCTTCCTTCTTTCTGCTAGAACTATAGAATGATTTCTTCATCCTTTTCAGAAAACAAATAGGAAAGTTCAGTCTGCATTTTGAAGGTATTTTTTTCAAGGGGTACAGTGGGTATTTCTGCAAGTCTTAAGATTCCTGTTTTTCCCCTTTAAATTTCTGTCAAAACGTCCCCACGATTTTGCATCCACAAATTGGGGCCCGAGGGCCAAACAGGCAAGCAACTAATCACAAGTTTGATTTATCTTTGGCATGGTTACAATAGCCAAACCCATAAAAGTGAGGAGGATCTAGGAAATTTCTTTCAACCCTCCCAGGAAACAAGAATAAAACAATAAATCTGCAGTGCATTAACATTCTTGTTTTCATTTCAGTAATTTAGGTTTCCATCTTATCCATATCATTACAGACAGAATTTGGCATCTTTTACTGGAGACATTGATAATGAATCAATAGTTTACATAATTACTGCCAACGCCAAGCATATACCACAAGGATCTATTTTAAAGAATACGCAAATATTCATACAGGACTTGCAATGTACCTCTTGACATTTCTTCCTAAATTGAACTCTGCAACTAAAGGAAGGAGAAAGATCTATCTAGTCGACAGAAGAATGCAGAGCGGCAGCTTTGCTAGATCATGCCTGCAAACAGCTCATTCAAAGTGGTTGGCATTGGCACGGGTTCAAGTTATTCTTTTATGCCTAACAGATAATGTAACTATGGCCACAAGTATAACAAAAGCCTACAAAAGGGTACAATAAGTTAAAGGTCCCAATTAAATTAAAATAGAAACCATAGCTTTAAAAGAACAAATTACTCTATTCTCATGATTATGATTTTTTAAAAAAAAAAAATCTTTCAATTATCCTCCAAGCCTGATGAAGTTATTTTTTTTTGTGCATGCTCTTAATTCAGTTCATGGAGAGGTGAAGCTCTCTGTTCTCCAATGTGGGTGTGTAATTCTTTCTTCATTCAGGGTGCGTTCTGGGTGCAGAAGGAATGCGAGGTCAAGTTCTCCTTTAAATTTTTGGCAGGCTAACAGTGTAACAACTCCTCTCTGTTGGCACGTCAGCAATGCTTTCTGACTGATGGTTTCAAAAGTGCTTCTCTACCCATGGTGGTAATTCAACCTCCAACAGCTATCGCCTTAAAACTGGTAAATAATAAAACCTCTTGTTTTGAAGGCGAAGAAACAAAACGTGGCACTAGAATTGCAATCGCTTATGAAACTGCATGAAGCAAGGTGTGTGTTTATGTCTGTTGTGCATTGGTGGATGTAATCCACAAACTGGAGTTACTTTGGCTCTTTCCCAAAGGACATTGGGAGCATTTGAGAAAAATTCACTACCCTGCCCTCAAAACAAGCAACAGTTGCACACTCCTTAACCAAAGGGATTCCACAGGAAGGCAGAACAATGGTCTCACGTGTCCATTCACCTGACTCAGCCTTCAGATTTTTGGACAAGCATTTCTGGAATGGGAAATCACCCTTTGGGGAGTCCTAAAAGGTCCTAGTAAAACAGTGAAATGACCTTAAATGCTCTGTTCCTATGGGTAGGGGCTATAAAAGCAGACTTGCTTGACACAGCCTTTGCACCTTCCCAGGGGAATTCAGTTATGAAACATGCTTTGGATTCTCTGATTTTTTTAATATGAAAATATGAGCTAGATTGGGACCATGTATGTGAAGGAAGACGTGCTTACTGCTTCATTACAGAAAGAGCTTCTCGGTGGTAATATCCGACTGATGAATTTTTCACTCCAAATGGCCTCCATAATAGTAGCATCACTTCTGAGATTTGTCAGTATGCCATCTCTCCCTCCCTCCCTCTGTGTGTGTGTGGGTGTGTGCGTGTGTGTGAGAGAGAGTAATTAAGCCCTGAATTATAGTAGTAAGTCATTAAGCAAGTCACTATGGGATTGTGCCCTATTTTATGACCTTTCGGGGCTGTTGTTAAGTGAATATTGCACTTGTTAAATGAGCACCATGATCATTAAGTGGACATTTCCCCTCAGAAACCAGAAGTAAATGCCAGCTTTTTGGGGAAAAAAAATCTCCATAAATCATAATCATATAACTGTGGGATGTGTAATTGACCATAAATGTGGACTAGTTGCTAAGTGCCCAAAACACAATCCCATGACCGCATTCTGTCTTTTTATCACTTTGACCAAATCTTCAAGGCTGACCATGTATAGTCTGCAGAAATGCAGGTCAATTTTGGGGAACAGGTAATGTTGGATATTTCTTAACATTTATTGAAAAATTGCCTCTGAAAGCCATCTTTAAAAAAATCTACTTCAAAATGACATGTAGATTTTTGCTGGTCAATAAGAATTTGAACTATGCTGACTGAAAATCATGAAGAAAGTCTAACAGATTCCAGGCTAAGAAATGCTAATTACACCACTGCTTTAATTAGAATAAGGCAGTTCTGTCTAGGTTCCACGAAATGAAGAGAGATAATGCAATTCCAAGAACTATAATCAAGAACTTGATAACCATGGGATAGACTACACTTGACCAAAAACTTATAAAATGTGCCAAGTATCACCTTTCTTCAGTGATCATAGAATTTTTGAAATTGTCAACCATAGCAAATCAGCTTGCTTAAAAGCTTACAATCTATACTTGAATTATATTTAAATGATAGCACAAAAAGCCTTAAATAAGCCTAGAGATAGTCTTTTCTGGATGTTAAAAACCCCATTAATGAAATATTTCCACTTTCTGGTTTATTGAACACATCCCTTCTGAAATAGTTAGTATCTTGAATGCAGTCTTGGAAGGGTTTATGCTCACAAAATGCTCACAATGTAGAAAACCGCTTTCCTATATTTGTGCCATAGTAATGCCTTATAAGGAGATATATTCTCAGTGAGATAATTTACAGTCATGGTTGAAGTACAGGGATTCCACACCCGTTAAAAGGACTTCTCAATAATTCCTTTTGATAGCGTTGTCACGGTTGGGCATCTTGCATCAAACAACATGTATACACTTTCTGCATCTTTCACATACATACAGACTGAAAAGTTGGACGCTCACAGTTAACAAACTGATGCCACAATCAGCTTATTTTATGGATTATGGCAAGATATCTCTTTACTCTGGAAACATATGTGAATAATGGTGTCCGTTCCTTAAGGGGGTGGGTGTTCTACACATATTAAGTAAATACGTAGGTACATTAATAAATAAATAAGGGGTCCTTGGGAGACAGGGTTTAATTAAGCTTTCTGGGAAAGAGTGCCAATTGTTTAAAAACAATTTCTGCTCCTCATGTGTGTTTTTCACCTAAATGACTGTAGTTGAAAGAATATGTATGTGCAAATAGCCACCATGAATGCTTCCCTCGATGATATCTCAAATAGAGTGTTTCATAAGACAGCACATATGCACATTCAGGCATCAACCATTACAAGGAAAAGCCAAAAAAAAGGGCACAGGCATGTATATGAACTTGACCTAAGTTAAACCACAGTCATTTCATAAATAATTACTTCAAAGGATTTTGCAAATCAAAGCTGCACTGGTCCTGAAGCAACATCTAAGATACTACAGAACCGATCTGAGAACCTCACCATAGTGAGAAAAAGAGCACCAACCATTTTGTTGGAGAAAAAAAAAATTTCAATATAGGATCGTGTCCCCTGTTTAGGGCTACTGCAGATTTTTATTTGTTGGATCCGTTAAAATTTTGAGGTTGGGAAATCCCACCCTCCACAAAATTCTTCCCAAAGGATATGGTAGGGAATGAAGCAATCCTGCCATTCTTCTGTATGCCTGGCCAGAGAATGATATGAGACCTGTTCTAAATATATTCTCATTGTAAGCAGAGGAAGATAAAAGATGTCTTTGTTTTGAAGAGAAAAGGAAACCAACCAGCCAGGAAATAGATGCAACCTTTCTCCCCAGCCCTGCCATCCAATATCTCTTCTTTTTTTTGACCTTCCAATCTGCAGCCAGCTGGGCACAGGGTAAGATGGCACCCTGTGATGCTAAACTCCATCGCATTGGCATTCATTAGACATATTAAGCATATCCATTCAATACACACACACACACACACACACACATATTTGCAGTAAATGGAATGCAATTAGACTGCAAAGCCTAAAATCACTCTAACATTACTCTTTGCATTCCATCTAATTGGCATTCATTAGACATATTAAGCATATCCACTCAGTATGTGTATATGTATATATGTATGTATGTATGGCATTCAGCTTTGTTCGGGTATTTTCCCACGTGATTGTAGTTGTGCTTTTAAAGTTGTAGCAACGTTTCGGCAGAATCTCAG